AAGTCTTGTGAGTAACCAAACTTTTATTTGTCTCATTTTTTGCTCTTGGAGTGCTGGTTTTGATGGGTGCAGCAGAGCACCTGGATTTACTAACAGAGGTGTTTATAAGCTCCATGGTTGAATCCACTGTTCTTCTTGCTTAGCTTCAAATTGTCATGAAAACATTTTCAGCTCATCCTTACTTGTTGACATTGACAGTGAATAGCTGCAGTGCAGGATGTTAGCAGTAAAGCTTTTATCTCTTCTGGTGTCCTAGGCACAACAGCTTTTTCTCAAGTTTGCCACTCACCTGTCTCTCCCATTGTTCCATTTCTGCACCATTCATAGTTTTTTAAGGCTGAAGTGCCATTCTGCCACCCTGTTCTGTTCTCTGTCTTAATACAGTTCATGGGTGGTTGCCAAGAATTTTCTGTCATACCTGTAATGTTTGGGTAGTCTTTTTTTTTACCTCTTTATATTCATCCTTCTGCTTGAGAGATGTTAGAAATTGCTCCAGAAGTAGGGTGACAGATCTGTTTGTAGAATGCAAGTAATACTGACCAAGGTTTGAAACTGCCTGGAAACGTGTTTTGATGTAGAGATCTGGAGATAACTAGCTATAAATTAAATAGACAATGAGAAGTCTTTAGTCACCCTGACTTTATTAAGGGATATCACCAGCATATTTGAAACTCCTGAGGAGTTATATGATTGTTCTCTTCCCTTCTGCCCACCCTGTGAAAGTAGCGATGGTGACAAGTAAGTTGCTCAGTCCCTATTAGTTAACTAGTCTTGTGTACGTTTGGGTTTACAAAGGCACAGTGCACATGCTTTTGATCCAGGGCTCTGAGTTAGGCAAAAGCAGGTTAGTTGGATCCAGCTTATGGCGTGTTGTGTTGATTTTTGATATCACTGTCAATAGAAGGGCTGTGAGGGAGAGGTATTTCTAAGAGCCAGCCACCGTAGGCTGTGGTCTACAGTAATAAGTGTGGTATAATAAGAGTAGACTTGTAGAGTGAAACAGTTCTTGCTGAGAAGATTCCCCACACTATGTATTTTTAGGGCTAACTGTAAACTGGTCTCATGGACCTGGTGGAGGGCATCTTTCACCTTAGTTTCATTTGAGAAGAATGTAAGTGCTGCTCTCTGAGACTGTGTTGTTGTGTGAACCAGAGACCTCTAAGTGGAGACACAATTGAGAAAATGTAAAGGACACTTCTGATTAAAACATGAGTCAACTTCTTTGGGTGTATCCACATTAAAGTAAGCAATGTACTTTATCCTGAGTAAAAGTACAGTTCAGCCTTAGAAAGGATTTTGGAAAATAAATTTTGTAAGTTATGATTTACAGTTGTATTCAATGATCTTAAGGGTCTTTTCCAACTTAAATGATTCTATATGATTTTGTATATAGCACAACTTCCTTTTTTCTCTTTTCCAATCTGTTCTCTGACACATTGAATTTAGAAGTGGTGCTGATTCTTGTCCAAGAAAAAAGTGGATATTCGGACTACTGTATTTTGTGGATGCATTATAGTTCAGGAGGGACGTGCTGTGTTTGGTTTTAGCTTATGAAATTGTGGAGACTTATTTTCTAAATAACCTGTTCTTGGTATGTGCAGTAATTATTTCCATTTTTAGCTTAAAAAAACCCTACTAGCTTATTGCTATTCACACTAAATAATATCTGTCCAAAACAAATATTAGCTTCTGTTCTGTGCAGTGTATAACTTACTGTAACTAGATGACACCTTAATGTGGTTGTGGTGTGATTTGGTGGATGTAATATGTGGTAGAATTATAGTGATTGGGAATAATAAAATATCTGTTAACAAGTTAACGTTAAAGCTTGCTTGATCTTCTCTTTGCTGAATTTGGACACAAACTAGCCAGGCAGCAGAACTCATTATCTTGAGCTCTGTAATTGACTCTTTTTGAAAATAGGGTAAGTAATGACCAATGTATAATCAGATTGGACAACGTTATGTATGAGGCAGCTGATGAAAGGTTAGTTAGTTGTTATGTTTTTGACTTACCAGTTGAAATGGAAACTTGCTCATCATTCTAATTAGTACAAAGATTTAATCAGTGTTACATAATAGTTAGTTCTCAGAAAAATAGCTGGTGGTGCTTCAATTGTCACATGTATTTAGCTCTTTTTTTCTGTAGTTTTTGTGATTTTTTTTTTTGACACACACTTAAATAATTTTAGTTTTAACAGGTGGTTCAGATGAATCTTGAGTTTGGCCTAAGAAAGCACCTGGATATCCAGAAGGAAAGGAATTTGAAAATTTAAGTGCAATTTTATCTATTCAGAAATGTTTTGAGATGTAGGGTTAATGAGCATATAGTTATTCAGTACTTAGCCTAGTTTTTTTCATACAGCCTAAGTATATGTTGGCAGTGGAATAAATATTTATCAACAATATCTTGTTGTTTATACCTGCTCCCTTCATTGTGCTAATACAACTGTTAGCAGGGTTGTATTGTAAATGACATCACTCCATGACTCCAATTAAAAATAACGCAATAACAGATGGTTGCAAACTGTGGGATGGGTACAGGTAGGAGGAGGAAGAAAGAAAATTCTTGGTTGGTCTTTGCCACTAAAGCCAACAACTTATGTGAACTATATGTTGACCTGTGTTGTGCTCTACCTATTTAAAAATGATGTATTTTTCTCTGCCAAAATCAAGGCATTTTAAGTGAGGGGGAGATAAATAGTTATGCTTGTAAACATGAAAGATACAGCTGTCTCACCACTGGCAATATCTTAATATTCTTTAAGAGATCATACTGAATGATCAGTTGTGAGTAGTAGCCCTGTTAAGTAATGTCTGCTTGTCTATCTGTATTATTCAGTGCCAGTAACTGCAGAATTTGGTGTGCTTGAAGAATAAAAGTTTAGTTTTTAAGTTATTTATTGATATATATTCATACAGTTGGTTTGCAGGTGCACAAAAATCATTCAGGGAAGAAAAAACCTTGGAAAACTGCAAAACTTCAATTTTACTACATCAGCAGTACCTGTGTATTGTGTTACGTTGAGACCCGACAGACGTGTTAGTTGGCTAACTTGTGGAACCTGAGTTATGGAAATCTGGAACTTTGCAAGAGGTTCATTATTAACATGTTGCATCTCAACATGAGGCAATTTGAGAAATGTATAGATCATATCCAGTTACTGCAGAAAAATACTGGGGCTGCTATTGTGGAAGCAGCCAGCAGGTTTAAAAGGCATTAGAGGAGTTCATGGGCCACAAGGTCCATATGTGATATTAAAATGATTACAGGGCTATACTCTAATGTCCCTGACAATGTGTTTGTGGATCCTGGAGGTGGTATCAGAGATGTAGTCAACTGAAAGCATTCGGGTTTGTGTGTTGTCATTAAATAACATCTACAACCACTCTAAGATTAAATACTGGGATGGATGGACTACTGGTCTTGCTAAGCAGAGCGTTTCTTATTTTCTCATAATGTAATTTCTTCTAGTAACTTCTCTTACTTGGGGAGCAGTTGAGTGTAGGCAAGTTCTCTTAAGTATGAAATAAGAATAGAGTGAAAGCCAAATGAACTTCTAAGTGGAGTGGAAAAAAAAGGAAGCCTTGTGAATAACCTGTTATCATTTTGTGGAAACTGTCAATGCGTTCTTACCTCTGTAATGAGGCTAAAACTACTGAAATACATCTCTGTAATACTGACTGTAAAGTACTTGGGTTCAGTATCTTTGTAGGAGCAAAAATACGGGTTGAGAGTCATTAAAGTAGCAGTAACTTTTTAAAAACTGAAAGCCTTTTTAAAGGAGGCTTGCAAAAAATGACCCTTCAAAAAGAAGAGGCAAAAGGGACAAAGCTCTTGCAGGTGGCATGGAAATTGCTTAGAAATAGTGTATTATGGGCTCAGAATAAATGTGGATATGTTCGTGACCTATCAAAACACTCAGAGCTGTTAAGCAACCAAAGTTGACATGCTTAAACCACATCATATAGGAAGACAGTCTTCAAAATGTAGAAGTAAATCCTTATGTAGAAATTAATTATGATCTTTGAATAAAAACATAATAAAGCAGGCTTTTTAATGAAAATAATGCAGAAAATCGTAGCAGTGGATTAAAATGCCTTATAATATATACTTAAAATGATCTTGGAACAAGTGGAGTTAGGCTTTGTATTTGTCACTCATTTTTTAAAGATCTGTGGAGCTGAGAATAGTTGGGAAATTGCATCTTCTAGCTTGATTTTTTTTTTTTTTTTGAAACTAGTACATGAGTGGAAAATATAACACAAACTTGAACATGTGGATAAATAAATTATGGGGCAGAATCAATATATTGTTTGTAGATGAGTCCCGCCTGTTGGTCAGATGGCATGGAGAGGATAATGCTAGTATTCTAGCGTAGTTAGACTTGAAGTTACTACTAATGTGTCTCACAAAAAACCTGTCAAAGAAATGTCAGTTGTGAGGCTCACCAAAAATTAATTCTTCATGGGAACAAAACCAACTTGCAACACGGCAGCAGGTTTCAAAATAGAAACAAGTCACTATGGAAACCTTAAAGGAATTTCTGCAACCATGTCACCAATTTATCCTGGTTTCAGGTTCCGAGCACCTTAAATGGTAAAGGGGATAAACTTTACTTGCGAACGCCAAGTTAAAATACAGAAACTTCATACTCATTGGGTGATCTGACTTGGATGATAAAGTTGTGTGAAGTAATGCAGTCACGCACGTGAAGGTGTGGCAGGGGAAAACTCGTGATTTGTTTTGCTCTGTAGGAAGCTGAACAAAGTGGATTTTTAGTAAGACTTTGTGCGGTTGTCGTCTTCTAACTGATGGTACCAAAGGGTCTTTTAATCATTCTTACAGTGTATATTAACCCTAATTATATGTAGAGATAGGTAGGCAAGGACATAGCCTATGTATGCTGCAATTTCATGGCACTAGATGCTGGCAACTTTCCAACAGAACTTTTATATTTGACCCAGTACTCCACTGATAGCAACGCTTTCTTAGGTAGTGTAAACTGATGCCGCACACTCCCCGCCTCCTCCAGCCCATACGGAAGCTTAACGTGGTTGTGTTGTACTTTCGGGGACAGGGATCATTCCTTCAGGCTTCAGCACACCCGTCTCCCAGTGGCTGGTGGCCAGTGGACCTGTAAACTGCCTGCTAAGGCTTCAATGTCTTCCAGCCTGCCGCAGAGTCAGCAGATAAAATCTCTCTAATCTTGAAACTTGAGGAGCTGAATTTAAAGTCCAATTCTGATGTTAAATTCCATTTGTTGTGAAGGAAGACAAGCAAGCTTGTTCAAAGTAATGTGGGTGCTAGACACTAACTGTCTAGGGTACTGTAGCCTTAGGTGTAGGCATTCTTGGGGTGTACCTTTTAGAGACTAAGCTGTCACTTGTTAACCGTGTTAATAAATCTAGCTGTTCCTATCTCCAACATTCTGCCTTAGAGAACAGAGTCGTGAGGTAGGTATCTGCTAATTTTCTTCTAGAAGAATTTTGCCCTAAGTATTTAACAGTTAAGGATTATTGCTATTAAAATATAGTATTCTGTGTGGGTTTATTTCTATGGCGTGCTCAGCCAGGCAGCTGGTGATCCTTAGTTATAGACCTTTCTGGCTTTCTTTGACTCTGTAATTTGCTGATTGGAATAACGATATTAATTTTCTCTTACTAATCTCTTGCTTATGATGCTAGATGTTAAATTCAGTATGCACATGTTCTTGTCAGAAATTCGTCAGAGGACCACAGCTCAAAGAAATGCTTCTACACCCCCGCCTGTGACTCCTAAACAAGCCTCTCCAAAATCACTGGTTCCAGCATCTCCTAATGTGCAGAGAGATATATCGGCTCTGAGTGGACCACCAGAAAGAACTGTTGTGCCATCCTTGCAGTCACCAAGACGCCCTGGATCCCCTGCTACTTCAGTGCCTGGAATGGGTAAACAGAGCACTTAATGTTATTTACAGTTTATATTGTTTTCTCTGGTTACCAATAAAATAGGCCATTTTCAGACAGTATGGAAATGGCATTTCATTTGGAAATAGCAGAGCAGTTATCTGATTAAGCAGGAGTTCCATATTCAATTAGCCATAACTCTTTACAGCTGGCACCTTTTGATGCTGAAACCTATTGCCTGAGCTCATTTAACTGTTATGGCTTCTTTGTTTAAATGGCAATAAAACTTTGCAGTATTCTGTAGTCAACAGTATAGCATACCTTTTTATGTTCTTAGTTTAGAAGAGCTCTACACTTATATAAATCAGGTACAGCGGAGAACACTTTCAGAATACATTCATGTTTCTCACTAAACCCTGCACATATTTTTTAACATGCATCTTGACATTTATTTAAATTTTTACTCTAGGAGGTATAGTCATGCAATCTATACTCATAGATTAAAGTGTAAAATACCAAATACACCAGAAAAATAGTCTGTGGTAGCTGAATTCTTCTAAAATTGCATTGTTGTTTTGGTACAAGAGTCAAAAGTTTAGCAGCAGATTAAAATTGTCTCCGTAAAACTTGGTTTCCTATCCTGAAAATGGGTTTTCGTTGATTTTCTGGCTTGGTGTTCAGATGGGATAGACTTTATTAAATAGAACAGGAATTAAATTCTATAGGAGGGATAGCAAAACTTAAGAGTTTTGAGAGGGAGGCATTGTTTTCATTCTCCTTGCAGACAGTAGAGTGCTGTATGGGTTTGTGCCAGGCCTTGCATTTGTTGCAGGATGTCTGGCAAGTTGGATCACAAGGCAAGAAAGGAGATGAAATGCTGCCTTGAAAATAGAAGGGATGCAACTTGCCGTGTCACTGTAATGTGGAGTAGTTCTTTGCTCTTGTGCAACTTGCCAAGAATCTTCTGAGTGTCGCTGTAATGTGGAGTAGTTCTTTGCTCTTTATACAGGGATCAAGAATATTTTTCTTCACCCCTGATTTTTAACTTTAAGTTAGTTAAGTCTTATAAACTGTATGTCCTTGCTTACTAACTTCCATGATACAATCTAAAAGTAGGACTATACATAATACGTTGACACCTGGTCTCTTAATGGAAGGTCTTGGGCGGCTGAACATTAAAATGCTGGTTTGTATTGTTTAGTGTAGTGGTGTAAACTTGTGATGAAAAGTTGTGATCTCTCGCTTCTTTGTAGTGTCCATTAAGGCTTATTTTTGTTAGTAATGGTTTACCTGTATTATGAAACTGCTAAATTTTGTTTTTATCCCTGAAGTGAACTGTAAAGGCAAGTTATTAGTAAGTCTTGATTATCTTGAAGTACCAGAAATCAGCTCCTTGCACCAGGAGATTTGTCATTTGGTTACAAACCATGTTTACGGAGACCTGCTTTCTGAAAATTCCTTAATGAATTTAAAATAGCATGCTCCTTCTTGTTTAAGATGATGGCTATATAATAAAATAATATTAGCTATATAGTAGTTTTATTCTTAGGGGAAGATTCATGCACAGTGAGTAAGCTGGATGAAATTCAGCCTTTACTGCAGAAATGATTTAGAGGAGGAAAGAAAAAGAAATAACTGACTTGTTTGAAAGGACAGTTGCCAAGCCTGTTAATTAAAATATTTAATGTAATTTTTGTGATGATGCTTTATAGGCACATAATTTTTATTTTCTCTAATAACTGTTATTTTGACCAAACGTGTTATTTTGCTGTAGATAGCAATGGAAGCCATTGCAATTGTTGGTTCATGTGGAAGCCCCGTTTTCTCTTGAGTTTCCCCAAACATTCCAGTCGTATAAAATCTCAGTCATGTAGCTATAGTGAAAAGCATGTAAATTCAGTATCTATAAGAGTAATATCATTGCATATAAGTTTATGCATGGCTTGCGAACAAATATGAATGGCCTTAATTATCTCTACTTTAGAGAAGATTAATAATTCATTTTTGTTATATTTTGTGGAGGAGAATCAATTTAATGTGTATTACCACAGAGCTCCCATATGTTTGAAAATTAATAACCAGCAGGTAGTTGAGAGTTTGCCAAGCTTTGCAGAAATGACCAGTCTTTCTACAATGATTGTTTTTGATGTTTATATTAATTACTGGTGTCCATAACAGCATGAGAACTAAGATGGTTGGGTTGAGTTATTAGTAGGCAAGTAATTGAAGTTGTTCTTGGAGTGTGTTGTGATGTTTCATTCTAGGTAACTTCATTTAATTTTTACCGTGTTCATTAACTTCTAGAGACTCTTCATATGTTGGCGATATAGAGGTTGTATGAAAATTTGGTTTTGTAAATACAGGACTAAACACATGTTTGAGTGTTAGCCAGGTATTTATAAAATTATTCTAGAGTTTTAATTTTATTGCAGATTATCAGTGCTCCAGATCTTCACTTCACACCTGTGTCGGATGTTGTCTGTTCCCTTTTTTAATGGAAGTAGTGGATCTTTCAGGTTTTTGTGAAGTTTAGGAAATGCATTTGCCTGAATTTTTCTTTAGACTGCTTTTTCAGAATCTATAAAGCATTAGGTCCAGTTTATGTTGCACTGAATTTGTTCTGCCTTGCTGCTGTGAGGGTTTTCTTAGTCTGGGCTCCTGCTAGTTGACTGAATACAGGAATAACTTTGGAACCCGTTCGCTGGTGTCTCCTGAGTTCAGTTCTCTTGTTTGTGAAAATGAGGGTTATTTTAAGAACACTTGTGTTAAGCGTGACACTTTTTTGTGCTTATTGAAGAGTTGTAAATTGCAGTAGTTTCTGGTCAAATTTTATTGTGCTTGTAAAGATTAGGATGGTCCATTTAGGTCAATTATCCAGTATTGATGAGAGGTGTGTTCAAATTTTGGGTTGTTAGAAATGCTGTAACCGTAATGGCAAGATTAGTCTTTTTCTGTGTGTAGCACTTTGAGAGGGCACAGCTGAAAATGTTTGATGCCTGCAATGTTTCTGGTGCTTGCAGCAGAGGATGGAGGCTAGCTGTACATGGCATTCATCTTGAGGTTTACCACAGTGTAGTGCATTCTGCCATAAGGTGCTCTTTTTCCTTTGTTGCTAACCTGTGAAGGTTAAAAGGTAGAAGGCTTGATGTTAATTGCTGGCTGTTACATTTAATGCTGTATTTAAACTTAAAGCCCATCTTGGATCAGCTTATCAAATAGTAAGACTTGCTGTGTTGTCTTTGCCTGTGTATAGTCTACTTAGGAACAGAAATAAAATTCACCTCTTATGTTTATGAAAGAGTATCACTTGTGTTGCAAGCTATGACTTTGTGCGTGTCGTAGTGCTGTCCCCAGCTAAGGTGCTACAAGAAAGGTAAATTTGTCTTCGGAGAAGCTTGAAGTCCACTGGTTGTTTTTTTGTTTGTTTTTCCATGGTATCTTTCAATTAAATGTCCTTCTGAATTAGTTCAACTTGCTAACAAATTCTGCTCTTTTTTGTGCTTTATTTGGATTTAAAAAAAAAAAGCAACTTTTTGCATCTTCAGGCAATGGGTTTAATTTGTTTTACCCTTTTGCATCTTCAGACACTGGGTTTAGTTTGTTTGACCCTTTAGCTTCCTCTTTGTTTATTGGGCATTAAGGAGGATTCTGTGAAATGTATCTTCCCAAGAAAAATACTGGATGCATACAGCAAATTGAAAAGAGAATTGAAGGCTGAATCTGTGGTCACTAAAAGCCTTTCTCTTAAGCCATGCTTTTTGTATATCTGTTTTTACTGGCTATAGTGAGAATAGCTACAAGACAGAACATTTCCCTGAGGAAACACTGGTCACTTTTTGTGCCTTCAGAATTTTACTTCGAAGAATTAAATATACTTAGTTTTTGCATGGCTTCAGATTACCATATGCTCATCTCAGTACGAAACTTGCTAATTTTAATTGAATTTTTTCCATTTAACCGTAACTGTCTTGAGCTTGAATAGGACTTTTGCATTAGTACAAGTAATTTTGTCTGAGTCTTATCTGTCAGGTTTCATAACTCTTGTCTTCAGGTGGCTTGAAGCTGACCTGTTTGTCCCAGTTTCAGAGTTCTGAAAGGGACTGATTTGTCCTACTCAAACATCCTTTTTTGTGGCCTTTGAATGTTATTCATAAAGGTCTCGTGGAAGTATATTTTAAGTCTTCCCACCCCCAAGTACTCACTGAATTATCTTGCATTCAAGACTGTCTGTCTGGTATCTGTTTATTGAAAGTACTGTAACTTAATACCTCCTGTGCTTGTGTAAAATGTCTCTTGGCCAGGAGTGTGGCCTCAGGAAGAAGTTTCGGATACTTAGTTATTTGAATGGTCACATCTGAATGATTCACACTTAGTTTCTTACCGAATCGTGTTTTGCTCATTATGCCTAGCATCTTCTGTTTTAAGGCTGGAAAGGAAGGCAAGAACTCAAAGCTACATAAATGGAAATTGGCAGCTTGCAGTGGTCTTGTGCTGTAGACCAGATGTTTTAAAACTTTGTGGAAAGACAAGTTTGTGCCACTGGTCTACTTAACTGCCATATATAAACGGAGCTGAAAAAAGTGGTACCAACTATTGCTGTTACCTGTTCTTAATGGAGTTTTATTTTGATAGTAGTTTGTTAAACACATGGGCTATGAAAAATGGTATCTTAACAGTGGCCTTCTGACTACTTTGCCTAAGCAAAAATCTGAAGGTATCCAACTTTCCATTAAACATGGAATTACCAAAATGTCAAATGGCCAGACAGGCTTAATGTGTAGACTGAATACACACTGAGAGCATGATCATGTGGTATAGTAATTACACAGAATCCAGTGGGTACTTCTCTGGTAGCATCTTTACTACTTCTACTGTTTTGATTTGTTTTACCAGATTTATTGGTGTAAACTTGAGGTGTTGAATATGCAGAGTTGAGAGTGTATGAAGAAAACTCAAATAAGGACTTTTTACTTAAAAAGCCTCTATTTGTGAGTAATCATTAAATACTATTGATGCCTTAAGTTCTTCAGAAGTTATAAATTTAATTACATATCCAAGGTGTAAAAGTAGAATGATTTGATAAGATTATAAGCTAAAGGAGCAGAAGAGGAACTTTCAACTATTGTGGGTTTAAAAATCTTGCAGCTTTTGTAGTGGACTAAGAAATATGGCCATGTATATTAATTAGGTGCAGTTACTTTATTGCACTGTCATGCACAGTGAAATATCATGTTACATATAATAATATAGATGAAAATAATTTTGACGTAGTTCATGTCTTCCTAGGTCTTCATCCTCCAGGCCCTCCTTTAGCAAGACCTATTCTTCCTCGAGAAAGGGGAGTTGTGGATAGAGTTATTGAATATTTGGTTGGCGATGGTCCTCAAAACAGGTAAAACGTTGCTAAAGGAAATACCTAAACACTTAAGAGATAGGAAGCCAAATGCGTCAATGTTAAAAGAATTAAAAAATCATTTGTTGGAAATTTTTATACTGAAATGGTCCTTTCTCAGTGTTTCATCTGAAAGTTTTGTAGGAAAAATGGTAACACTTTGACAAAATTCACCTCCACTTTGAGTGGTATTAACCATGTGATACAAAGAAAAATCTATGCTCAAGTGGGTGAATGAATTATATTTTGAACTAAAAAAACCAAAAACCAAACAACTTAGCATTTCAGTTTTATTACCGCTATAGTGCTTTCGGATTGCCTTCAGCACTGTTCAAACATATCAGAGCTTTCATGTTAGCTATGGTCACTTTTCACATTGACTGTATTCTCATGAAATATAAACTTAATTTGGATGTTACTTTCTGACAGTGATGACGTTACAAACATGTTAAGCCATGAAGACTAAATGGTAGCTAAGAATATTTCACTGTTTTTAAACCAACTTTAAAAAGTATTATTTAATAGACAGATTTAGTTTGCAGTAAAGGATAGTAATTTCACTGTGGAAATAAACTTTTAAGAGTAAATATCTAAGCTCTTAGTCAATATCTAAGGTAAAATGCATCTCATTTCAGTGTGTTATTGCTTAAAGGTATGTAATTATATATTATTCATGTTTTCTAGGTACGCCCTTATATGTCAGCAATGTTTTTCTCACAATGGTATGGCTTTGAAGGAGGAGTTTGAATACATAGGTAAGAGCTAATCGGTGGTAGGCTCTGTAGTAGTTGGCTTATGTTTCATAACTAACACGCATCATACTTCATTTTGGTTGCAGTTAAGTACTTAACTGACACTGTGAAATACTGCTTCATATGGAAACAGTTTTATGGTAACTTACTACTCTGTATCTTAAGATTCGCTTCAAGACTTAAGAGAAGTACTTTATTGCAACCTTCAGGCCAAGGATTTTATGTGTAGAAAACTATTCAGTAGAAATAAGCCTCCTCCAATACATCCCTGAGAATTGCTACTGGCTATGAATGGTTCTCAGAAGGGTTTTATATTGAGAAACTATCTGACATTGAAGTGTGTCTCTTTTACCAGAACTTAAACAAAATTTTGCTTTGGCAAGAAGATCTTGAGGAGGTATCGGAAAAGGAGTGGGAACAAGCCCTAGGGGGCTATATGTGAATTTATGGCTGACAATAACTTAAGACAGACACAGCTCTTTATTGAACACAGATGTTTTATTTTGCCTCCTTTCTTACCACAAGTGTAAGCCTGATGCTTAAGAGATGAGGGAATCTTAAATAAATCTATTTAATTTTGTTTTGCTTAATTTTATGAGTAAATATACAGCATTGTAAGAATAAGATGAACATTTCCTATGGAACCAAAGATATATAGTCATCTTAACTCAAGTGAGTTCACAATTCAACTGTGCAAGAAATTGCCATTTTACCCCTTGTCTTGGGGGTGGGGAGGAGGGGGCAGAAATATGCTTTTAACTATTAAGTGGTATCCAGTACTTCTCCAGAACAAAACTGCCTTTTCTTAATTAAGCACCACTGGATGATGATGTTCCTCAAAAAGTAGAGTGGTACATAACCTTGCAGAATCCATAGCATCCCCTTATTCAACTGTTGAGGAAAGCGGCATCTTAAGGGGGGGGGAATAATCTGCCAACTTAATTCTTTTGCGGAAAAGAATAGAAGAACGCTGTGTGGCAGCATCTTGTACTGAATTGCATTATTTTGTTCATTGTGGTCAAATCTTTTACACTGGTGGGCAGTACTCCTAAGTGCGGCAGAGCTGAAAGCAAACAGGTTTTTAAGAAGCAAATGTATACTGAAGTTAAAAATGGAGCTATAAGAACAGCTTATGTAAATTTGATGAACGTATTCTCAGGTACTGATAGTTAATTCTCTATTCTTTAGTATTTTGGACAGTCAGAATATAGGGTAGGAATAAAGGTGAAATGTGAAATTAATTAGTGTGGTTACTTATTGGGTGTGCTTTTGTGTAGCATTTAGGTGTGCCTATTGCTTTTTCCTGAATCCTGCAAGAAAAACTAGACCTCAGGCTCCACGACTTCCAGACTTCAGTTTTGAAAAAAGGCAATCTACAGAATTGCGATCCGAAGCTGAGCCTCTAGAACCTAGAGAGAGAAAGCCCCAGGAGACTCAACAGGCAGAAGGTATGTGCTAACTCATGAAGTCTGCTCTTTTTTAAATGTCTAATCAAATCCCGCCCCCATCATCTAGCTCTCTTGTCTAAATGAGTTTTTTAAAAGAGTAAGAACAACTGAAGAACTCAAACATTGGAATGGCCTTCCTAGAGAGGTGGTGCATGCCCCAAGCCTGTCAGTGTTTAAGAGGCATTTGGACAGTGCCCTTAACATGCTTTAACTTTTGGTCAGCCCTGAATTGGTTAGGCAGTTGGACTAGGTGATCGTTGTTGGTCCCTTCTAACTGAAATAGTCTAGTCTATTCTATTGTAACTTCATAGTGTGTGCAGTTTTTATTTTTTTTTTCAATTCTTCATATACCTGCTTCTAGCTTAGCTTGTTGATACTATTGTCTTCTGTCCTGAAACCGAAAATTCCTTCATACTAGGCAATGTCTCACGTAAATGATGGCATAACAAAATTTTTCACTCTGATGTTCCTGATAAACAGATAGAAACATAGCAGTGTAAATTACAGAAATTGTTAAGAAGGGAATATGTCCTGAAGTAGTTAAATTTCACTGTGTTCAGCAGAAAAAACAGGTCGTTTGATGGAGGTGTGTTGGAATTTCTGCCTTTGTTCCTTTTGCTGCTTTCCTCAGGGCAGGAAAATCTAGTAAAACTGCCTTGTTTAAAATCAGGGAGTTCAAAGACAAATTGTCAATTTTAATTTAACATAGTTCCTTTTGAGACGTTTTATAGTCTGCAGATACAGTAGGCATCTGGTGTACAGCCAACAGGAAGATGCAGTGTTTTAAGAGACTCCAGAAATTACAATTTCAAACCAGAGAATCTCTAGTTAGATGTGCTATTGAGTACTTAATGGGATTTTACGTTAGTTTAAACAGGGATCGTGGGTGGAAGCTATTGAATAGTGTACAGCCCTGAGATTCAGGCTAGAAACAGACCAACTGTGGGAAACTGTCAGAGCGTAACAGAAAGAATGTTTCTGCTTGATTATCTTTAACAGGGAGTACAAAATGGCATTGGCCTTTATTTTCTGGCACGAGAAGGCTGCATGAGACTGTTAGGAAAGTCATATCTAACTGTAGCCATCTCTGGGTGTGTTCTGATGTGGGTGCATTAGAGGGAAAACTTGGTTGGTTTCTCTTCCTGTGCCATAGTGTGCTCTCACTTCATTAAAAGTAGTATTACTAGCATGAAGGTAAGAGTGACATCAAATGCATGAAGCTAAGACAATGCAAATGTCACCTTTGCTCTCAAATGAGCTAATCATCTTTTCAGTGGGCGGAGGGTAGGTTAGTAGCTTCATGGCTACTTTTATGTAAGAATTTTCTAATTTTAAGACATAATATGTTACTGGGATCTTAATATGTTACTGGGATCTTAAAAACTCTGCTTAGTTTCCACTGTTTGAATTAAATGGGGAAGCCCTTAAAGATGGATATTCAGCTCTTAGAGGTATATGCCTCGAGGGCTTCTGAGTATTATCCACAACTGCAGTTTCTTAGAGGTTTTGGGAGAAGGGGGGTGTGCTAATTAAGCTGATATTATCATTGAAGGAAATGCTTATCAAACTATGCCTTAATGGGTCTGAGCTACTGAGTCAGATGTTGTAAAAAATGTAAAACCTTAAGAACTAGTGTGAGATTTTCATTAGGCGCTAGAGATGTAGGAGTGAAAAGTCTGCAAAAAAACTTGCTTTTTTAAAGCAGAATTTTATCAAATATTTCAGGATAAAAATAGGATGGTTTTATTGGAGTAAATGTGATTTTACCAATTTACTTTGACAATGACTTGTTTTTTGTTCATGTGGTCTTGTATTAATGTGCTGCTTTATTTAAAAACAAGGACAAAGGAAACTACTGTAGGGTTTGTTCAACAGTTCTCTTTTCCTGCTGGGAAGTGTACAGTGAAATTTTTCAGAAGAGGCACAAGAAATAACTAACTACTACACTGACTTTTTGGTTTATCTAGCTTAAATATCTGATCTTTTCTAAATATTTAATCTCCAAGATGATATAAACCATTCTTTTTTGATAATTAGTAAGCAGCCAGAAATAGAGTATGTGTTAACATTTTACATAGCTAATATCTGAGAAATGTCTTGTTGATGTAGAAGAGGCCAATGCTACCCTATCAGTTTGTCACTGTGCATTAACTGCCTGCGACTTGCCACAAAGTAATCTCTTATGAATGAGAAAATATCATTTTCAGTAAATCACTTTTTCCATCAGAACCCTAATTTGAAACATAACTGCTTACAGACAGTTGGGCTTTATTAATAAATGAACTTATTCCTTGATTGTAAGCTTAAGGTATGAAACTGTCATTGAGGCATAGCTCTGGGGAAAGCTTTTGTTCACTACAGTAATATAGCTGCTGTCATAGCAAGAATAGAAAATATCTTCACTTACAGATGGAGACAAACATTAACATCAGGAAACCAACTTCACCACAATGTTGACAGCACAGGGAGATCCAACTCTTATCTGTAACTCATTTAAACTGTAGCTGTATAGCTTGAAGAAGCTGCAAGCTAATGTGATACAGAAGTGCTATAAATATTTTTTACCAGTCAGCTACTTTTACTAATGAGTAGAGCATGAAGCTGACTCTCTTCTCAGTTGTGTGCTCACGCAGTGACAAGCATGTTACATGCAACTCCTGTGGATAAGAGATCTGAAGAATGGTTATGGGGAGTGCTGTTGGCACTGAACCTTGGATTTTTAATCCTCTGGAAATATGGAGTCATCAGATGTCAATCTGATGCAGATTACTGGCACAAACGTCATGCTTCCCTGTTCAGCAGAGTAACTTGGGAAATTCTGGTACCAGAATAAAGCAACATATTTCAGTTCTTTTCTTACCTTTTTCTGAAATGGCTCAATCTTGATTTTTTTTTTTTTTTTCCATCAAAGGCTAGTTTGTTCTCCTATGTACTTCTCTTAAATATTAATGTTTGGATCATATTGAAAAAGCCAATGGGAACCACTTTTATCCTCTTGATTGATTTGGCCTTGGCTATATTTGGTATTGTTACGCTGCATTCTTGATACAGGTTTAGTATTTAGCGATGTTTTGAAGGTTGAAACAATTTGACTGCTTCAGTGTTTTATGGCGAATATCTGGTGCTGATGTTCAGAGGTCTTTGTTAGATGCTTTTAAACTTCAGATTTCACCATGGTGGCCAGCACTTTGTGGACACAGCTTCCAGTGTTGTTTCCAGATTTTTATGAAATTCCTTGACCCTTGTGGTGAAATACTTTATGATGTTTAGTGCTCTGTCACTCTTAAGGATTCTTGGAATACAGCAACTGCTGGTATGTTTGAAAGGACTTCCATTTAAAAGGCAGATGCAGAACTTGGTTTGTTCTTAAACGGAAGGATTCACAGTAGTGCTGTCATCCAGAAATAATACTGCTTCAAGTGTGTGCTTACTTATGATTTTGACCAAAAGTGGAGCTTGGCTTTTTGAGCAAGTGTTATAGATGGAGCAGAAACTTTTATCTAGGAATAAAACTGGTTGAGGACAAAGGACTAAGAAATAAGCTTGACTATTTGTTCTGGTCAAAATAGTCTGAGTTTAGGATTAAAAAAAACCCAAACAAACAACAATAAAAAAATCAAACCAAAAAACAACACTCTGGACTTGAGGCATTTTTTGTTTGAGATTTGCCTTGCCTTTTTACTAACTACGCTTCGCTTTCATAGGACAGCATGAGACTGCTATATTTTAGTAAGTTGTTTGTTTGCAAAGATGTGAGTTTCTGCCTGTTGTGGTCTTTCCTTAGTTCAACTAGAATTCAACGATTTCTCAAGCAGACATGGATCAACATACCTCGAGTTTAATGACTTGTTTACAAGTTTTTTGTTTAAAAATTTATTATGTTTCTGGTCTACCACAGTTCAGTTTTGCCAAACAACATAACTCACCTTTTTGGTAGGATGTAAAGGCTACAGGGTCTCAAATACTGTGCTGTTATGGGGCTTCTTTTCAAAGGTTTCACAATAGCTTTCTGTGATACCAAAGCCATGAACACAGACTACTGTGAAGCACACGTTCCTTAAAGATACTTCAGACATGTGGCACTGTGTGAAATTCTGCCCTAATGGGGAGCTGCAGCAGTGAAGAAAACTTATCCCAAAAGTCTTGAAAGTACAAGTAAAGTAGCTATATTTTAGTGCAATTGTACTATTTTTTGTGAATTCCTGCATAACAGACCTACATCTTCTACTTAATTTAGTAGTGATGCAGTATTGTGATTTCACTGGTTATGTGAAATATTCTCTGCAGCAAGAGGAGGGGTAGCTGACTACTTAGAATGTGAAGTACACATGCTTTCTAAGTACTAAGCATTAAGCACGAGTACTGAAAAAAGGAACTGCTGTAGCCAGGAGCAGGTTTTTAAAGTTGCATTGATACAGTCCTTAAATTTGCCTCAGGCCAGCATAGGGCTGTTTGCTGTTGAGATCATGTATGTGTAGCAATATTCTTCAGCTGAGTCATGGATTAAGTATTAATCATCAAGGACACTCATTTTCTTTTGTCATCTTTTAAAGTTCATGATCAGAGCTTTCTCTCGTTAGCTACTGCTCTTGCAGTAACTTAAATTATGCAATACCGAGATCAAGTTGACTTCAGGCAAGCTTTCCATTAATCAGTGTGTTTAAAATGGAATCACTGTATATGTTTAATGAAGGTTGGCTGTGTTTATAGTTGGAGTTAGTAGCACCACTTACTATGATTGCCCTGACTGCTCAGATGTACTCTTTATAAAATGCCTTATAACTTTGTCAGACTTAATTATTAGAGCAAAATTTGCCACGTAGGTTTGTTCATTTTAACTGTATATTCTGGAGAGTTTCAAGAGTTTCACTAAGTTTAATCAAGAACAAAGTGAAGGGAAAAGTCTCGGTAATACCTGACAATGTCTCCATACCTTTTAGCAGAATATAAAAATGAAAGCAGCATCCTTCTCCTCTTCCTTTGAATACAGATAGTTAGAATGTGCACTTGATCAGGTTTTCTCCTTTTTAATTAGATGCTTCTGCTAGTGGCTGATTGTCCCCGGGGCTGTCCTCAAACACGTTGTAGATGCTCGGCATCTTCCTGATTTGACTGAATGGAAAGTTTCTTTACCTCAATCGGACAAAGAACGAGTCACTTCTGCAGAGTGCTAAGCATCGTTCAGTTGAGGACCGCAGGACTGAAACTCTGTAAATAAGTAATGGTTGGGCTACGCTACAAATAAGTTGAGAGGGTATGGAGTTGTCTCTTCCTCATACCCTATACTTTCTTTGACTCGAGCCTGAACAGCAGCAATCAAGGAGGAATGTAACTCAAGTGTGGAGCGATTGTAGCAGGAAAAGGCACAAACTTATTCATAGAATTTGAGGCTGAAGAAAAAATGCAGAGATGAGACAAAGAAAACTGACAGTTGGGAGATAAAGATTGAGCACAGGCTGGGATGGGAACAAGATGGAAATTGAAGAGCAGGAAGAGAGAGTGGGATAGTCTGGAAAGAAACTGGGAACATTAATTTGCTTGGGCAGAAATAGGAGTGTTGACCATCTGACAGATGGCTCCAGAGAAGTTTTGAAACAAGAAGCCAGGGCAGGTGTTGAGCAGCCTGTAATTGAGAAAGCAGGGAAGGAAGCTGAATCAGGAGGTAAGTCAGCTGCAGACTTGCTAAGATGGAAGATCCAGTCAGAGGAAGAAATGGATAAGCTGGGCTGCACTGAGCACCCTGAGGTGGAGCCTGGAACTAGCTAGATGGAGCTGTGTGGGCGAAAGAGGGGTCTGGAGATCCTGGTGACAGAGGGCAATTGTACCAGGTCTGCTAGACAAGGGTGTACGGCAGCTACTCTTCTCAGTTGTGACCTGAGAAGCCAGAGCAGTGGTTCTAAAACTTTGAGCCCTGCTTGAATTCTGTGAATGATCAGCCTGAAACAGTCTGATTACTTTTGACACCCAACATGTTTTGATAAATACGAAATTACAAACGCTTGATAAGGTTAATATTTTTGAGCTGTAACTTTGCATCAGTTTTGCAAAATGTTTGTCTTCACAGTATGTGTTAATACTGTATGTTATTGACCAATACTGGTCAATACACTGCCATCAATAGTATCATTCTACAGTACCTTTGTGTCATTTAGTGCAACACTTAGTGTTCAGTTTTTCAGTACTTATGCTTACTTCAAAATGTGTCTGTCTTTTATTTCTTATATGCTACTGAAATCCTGTTTGTGAAGCTAGAATGTACTGCTTTAGAGGTAGTGCTCATGGTAAAATATTTCTGACTGATCTTCAAAATATGCCTATTATCAAAAAACTCCCATTCCAGACTGAAAGTAAAGATACTCCTGTGTATCCTTCCTACACTTCCTGTAGGAAGAATGGGAATATGTAATAATTCTCATTGGTTGTTTTGAGATGTTGAGAACTAGATTATTCTAAACGCGCTTTTTTCTGATTATCTGTCTCCTTATGTTTAAACTAGTTTCCACCAAATAGAATGTTTAGGTTCTGTGTGCAGACTGCGCTCTTATAGAAGCAGCTATACGGTTGGTAAAACTTCCGTTACCAAACACAAAGAAGCTGAATTACCATCATGTCATATTTCTGACACTGTCTCACATTAATGAACAAGCTTAGAAAGATTCTGTTGAGGGTGCACATATACAAATAATACATAGTACTTTCATAGTGGAATCTGAACTCTTTTCCATAACATTCTCTTTTTCTTAAATTTTACAGGTTTTGCCTGTGACTGTCTTGTTAGAAAAGTAGTAGTTTTTAGCAGTTGAGAATTTCATGCAATGACTAGTCAAAAACCTGTGTGTGATTCCAAAATGCTGTTTTGTTTGCTTTTTAAGAATATTAGCTACCTCTTAATTTCTGGAAATGGTTATTCAATCATTTTTCTTTTCACAGAATCTGAAGATGATGTGGCTCGGATCAGTGATACAAATGAGGCAGATGATAAAGCACCAAGTCTTGAGCAGCTAAATGATAAGCTGGCTGAAGAAGTTGAAAAAGAAGAAGCAGAAAACATTTCAACGACTGAAGACTCGATTTCAGAGTCTATTTCGGCTGAACCAAGTGAAGAATCTTTCATGAAAGCAGAATAAAGTACTTCCAAGTGCCTTCTGTAGCTAGTTTTTAGCTTTTTCATGCCTGTTGTTACTATTCAGGTGAGCTTTTTTTTAATGGTACAACTTAAAAATCTCGCTTGAGCTTAAACTGCCTCAACCGCCACAATATGTCAAAGCTATGTGTAAAAATGGGTATTGTAAATTAAGCATGTGTCTTTTAAATAAGTTAACGCACAGAATGTATAGTTGGTTGAAGTCTAACAGTTGTAGTCACTGTTCAGTTTGCATATTTAAAAACTTAAGTATAAGCTTTGTTATGGGTGACCTATAATTTGACATCTCTCTAGCTGTCACACATAAGAGGAATTACTGGCAGCAACTGACCTAGTAAGTTTGGTCTGGTGAACTTAAGATACTTTTTAATGCTTCCCCGTTAAAATGAATTAAGTACACTTTAAATACACAGATGTTTACAAGCTAAAGTGTCATCCGACATTTGACTTAAGCGTATGGAAGTGTCATTACAGTGTTGTTAATGTTATTCATTGTCTAACTTTTTGACAGAATTCAGTTAAATGGCACTCAGATAAATGGCATCTCCTTTGGTATTTGCATTGCAGATGAACCAGAGGCACATACATACAAAACTGTTTTGTGTTTACATAAAATATAGAAAGTCTCTGCACTTGATTGTACTTGAATACAAAGCACTATTTATACCTGTACAATAATGACAAGATATAAGTGAATTTTGTGCCTTTGTGTATTTTGTTAAAGGAAAATAAAGACATCTAGCAGCAATACTTGCTTTGTGATTCCTAAAACTGGAGTAAATTTCTGTTCTGCTTTGTGCAGCTATTCTGCAGTTACTTTATGCGAAGTTCAGAAGGAATATGACCCCTTAGAAGGAGCATGTCTATATGTAGCTAAAGTGGCTTTGGCGGAATAGAAATAGATCCCTGATCAACAGGGGAAGCGCATGTGCATTTGCCAACAGACTTTCCTAACTGTGCCTAAAGTCTGTTGATACTATTTATTGTTAAAATGACAATGAATATTTGCTGCTGGATTACTGAAACTGTACTTTTTTTATTGCGTACCTTTTCAAGGTAAGGACACTTGTTGCACATTTCCTGTTAAATACAACAGTTGGGAACCTGGACTAGAATTTTCCTGGTGCCTAGAAGTGAGGTACCTAAATCAATCAGATTTTGTTAGAAATAAATGCTGACCACGTGTAACTTGGTTGTTTTAGTAGTAGTTCTGATAAAAGTTTTAGTAGGTGTGATGTTCTCTGTGTACCTCACTATATGAAGGGAAGGGGAAACTTCAAAAAACATCTTTTTATCCATCCTTTTGTTCCCAAAGTGAACTGGTTTTACAGTAAAGGCAGCAAAAAGCTAAATCTTAGTAGCTCAAAAGCCCCCTACAAGAAAACCATGTTTCTAAACGTGACCTTAGCATCCTTGTCTTTATATGAGACATAGTTATTATGTGAATAGCAATGATTAATTTTCTTTTCCAAATATATACTTTATTTTCTGATTCTTTGGGGTTAGTTTAGAAGTTCAACCCTTACATCAGTCAGAATCAGGTTTGATCTGTATTTAGATAAATGAGGAAATTTTTTTTTCTGGTTCACTAAGTAAATTGCAATTCATATTTTAATTAGTAGTCTCAATAGACAGCTTGTAGGCATGTGATTAAAGGAGTACTTGTAGGTGTTTGGCTATATTTATAAACAATTAGTAAAAACAGGTAACTGTCTTGTGCATGACTTAGTTGGGAATACAAGGAAAACAGCCCCTCTTCCAAACATATCTTATGGTATGAGAAGAGTAAAATGTACAAAGTGATAGGGGGAACGCATTCTTAATACCTTAAGAGAATATATTTTATATTCCAGAACTTCTTTAAAATAGAAAGTTTTGCCTGAAAGGTGACAAAGCCAACTCATTATTTTGTAAGGCTTTGAGATGTTAATCTCTACATTGCATTTTTTACCCCACTAATTTATCTGTTCAAAGGTTGATTTCTTTGGAGAAATAAAAACTATCACAGAATACTTCAGTAATTCAGCACAGTAAATTATTGAATGTACTTATAAGCACTAAACCCAAGTAAAATTTGATGTTATGATCCCTCATATGGGATATGAATGCATGAATTTCTTTCACTTCTGAAGTTAAGATTACTCCAGGTCCATGTATGATTTCCTTTCAAAAATTTTTATCTTAAGTATCAGACTTTTTGTAGAGTAATTTTAGGTGCTTCCCAGGACAAGCAACCACTAAGCTGTAATGCATATAATAGCTATTGAATTGACTGACAAAATGATTTGTTGATATTGGAGCTCTATATTTCAGTCTGTCTTTTTTTTCATTAGCCTGAAAGATGTCTGTTTTCAGATATGCTGCTTTTGTGAAGGAAACTGATGCTGCTTAAGTTGTTGGGAATCTGAATTTTTTTGAAAGAGGAGGCTCAGTATGTGGTATGGGGTGGGGGGGACAGGAAAGTGTTATTTCTCCCAGTGTTCTTAAATGTGACATTAGCAACTTGCCACAGGAATGATTGATACTTTCTATTTAATATGTCACTGAAGGATCAAGTAGAGACAGTCAACCTGATGTGAAAACAAATACTGGTTAAAATGTGAAAACCTAGCTTTGAGACCTAAGACTACTCAGAATTTTTGAGGAGGGGAAGAGTAAGTTTTAAGCACATAATAGAGTTTTTATTAAAGACTTCCATACTAAAAAAAGCGTCCAAGCAGTTGTTCACATTAATTACTTCAGAAGGCTTGAAAAAGATGCTAAGGGTGTCCTGGTATTTTGGTAGAGAAAAAAAATGTATTTTTAACTTTCTAATTTTTCAAGATTTTAAAGCAGCTATAGTAAATGAGGGTAGAGGGTTAATTAACCTGTAAGTGAATTCAGGCTCAGGGAGGTACCTATGATAATAATAGACTCTGGGCTTTCCTCAATTTACAGTAAGCATTCATATGTTACTCCTGCCAAGTATGTGTGCCTCAGTCCTGACATGAATGTGAGAAGCGGATTCTGTTTCTGCAGCAGTTTCTTCTTGGCTCCTGTCTCCTGCAAGTGTGGCAGTAGTAAAAGACACCTGTCCAACAGGAATTGGTTTGAAATTCAAAAATACCTGTCAGTGAACAGCAGTAGCCACACTTAGTCAGGTCTTTGTAACACCAAAAAACTTGAAAGTAGGAGTATGTAGAGCGAAAAGGTACAGCAGTTATCAGTGATTTAATCCAAATGCAGACTGACTCTCAAAAGATGAGGAGATGGAAGAAAGTAGGGGGGAAAAAATAACATGCTGTGATTCCATGTTTCACTGTCTTCTGACTTCCTAGTATGTAATTGGATCTTAATTTTTTCATAAGTACTTCAAAGCTGGATCCTGTGAAAATCTCACTTCTGAGAGATGTTCCGCGAGCCCCGTTTCTTCTTGTGGTCTGGATGAAAAGCAAAACTGAGTGGGGTAGTAAAGTAGTACTTGGCATGCTTTTTGGTGCCATGTTTTTATTGCTTCTGAAATATTGTGAGTAATTGCAGAAATCTTTTATTCAAAAGTGATTTGTATATTAGGGAGGAATTATCTGGGCTATGTAAAAACTGGTCAAATTTAAGTTTTACTAAGAAGCCTGCAAAACAGGGAAATGAGGGAACATTACTTCAAATTCTAATACTTATTCTAAAGGAGAACACAGTTATCACCCTTGGATGTTTTGACAGAAATAGATCGTTTAGTGGAATCTTGGTATGAAGGTAGTTTGTCTCAAGAATGCTATTCAGCCTACACGCGGGGAAAAGCGGAAGCTCACAAGGAAAGGCAAACGAAGATCATACAGACGCTGATAATTTATGGACTGGTCCAGAGGTTATCAAAAGCATATAACTAGGGGGGTGTATGGTTGCCTTGAAGTCAAGAAAAAGAAGGTTCAACCCCATGTGGTGCATGAGTAGAAGCCAGTGGAACAATTTTAAAAAAAAAAAAAAAAGTGAAGCAGACTGGGGGGAGGATGGAGAGTGGTTTTGTCTGTTAGAACAAGGTCTTATTCAAGCTCTTAATCTCTTGATAAGATTTTTCTCAGAAAATGTAGTGGAGTTTGGACATTACTACATGGCAGTACATACCCCAGGTTGATAGCATGTTCTTATGTCAGAAATAATAAGATTGCATTTGACAATGAATCATATTGGAGAAACTTGTTTGCTTTTTGGAATTAATTCCAGAATAAGCACATGACAATAACTTGGTAGAATAAGACTGTCTAGCTATTCCTAGAGATGATGGTAACCAAGTTGTTCTTATCCTTTCAATGTAAACATAAAAACTTAGAAATTCTTTTCTGCTTCTAGGATTAGTTAAACTGTAGCAGTAATTATTTTTAACCCTGTTAACCTTCAAAGGCTAAGAGAAACACTTCTCTGGTGCATGGTTCTGAACTTAGCGATATTTGTGCCCTTGTAGATCTGTGGTGAGGGACAAGTGAGTAGGCTAGATGAAACCGGTCATTGTTCAATAGTTAAGTCTGCTGTTAGATCTTCAAAAGTCAACCTGCATAAAGTCTGAACTCATTCAGTAGGAGAGTACTGGATGTAAAGAAGGTGCTAAATAAGTTGCTTCTGGAGTGAGGTTTTGTTAGGTCTTTCACGATAAGGAAGATTGTCCATGGAGTAAGCAATGCCCTCTGTGAATGTTTCACTAGAACAACAACCTTGAAGATCCATTTTACATCTTTGTTGGCAAATAATCATTTGACCAGTTCACTGAGTGTTCTCAAGCAAAATCTTTAGGCTCTCATTTCCATGTCTTGCAGATTTTGGTTTGTTGGTTTTTTTTTTTCCTAATATCTCAAAGATGTTCTTTCATGTCCAGTCACATGGTTAAAAGTTAGTGCCTCAGATCTCAGCATCTCATGTTTCAATTACTTTCTTGAATTGATAAATGCAAACCTGTCCAGATTTCTGGTGTAGTGAGCCTCTGAAGTTTGACATATGTTTGTAGTGTGTAGGAGACTGTATAGAAGACACATCCCTAATACAAACTAATTTAAAAAAAGGCTACAAATAGTCAAGCGTATAAACACCATGAGGAAAGCAAGTTTTCCATGAATAATCTTAGACTGGAAGTTTGAAAGTTCCTAATAATTTGGACAAATAGCCTTGTGGGAGGCATTAGGTTTAAAATGGAATTTGAAAATGAGAGCGCAATAGGAGATGACTCTGTGACTGATGACTCTGTGGTGCTCACCTTTCCTCTTTTTGCTTAATGTATTAAACGACAGGATCTGTGTGATAGTTCATGCATGGGATTTTTGGCTGTTGTCGG